GGCGGGACCTTGGAGAGGGACGTCATGCTAAGGAGGGTGGAGGGACAGCACAGGAGAGGAAGACCCTCGATGAGATGGATTGATTCAGTGACTGGGGCAATAACAGGGGCAGGTGTGTCAGAGATGGTGAAATTGGCACAGGATAGGGCAGAGTTTTGGACTATTGTACCATAGGACTGCTATGAGTCACAGGCAACTCGATGGCACATAACAATAAAAACAACAGTTGCAGATGACAATTTTTCTTAACCTATAACTTGCCTGGGAGTAGAATGCTCATCTATCTTCCGACGAGAAGTTGGTGGATTCCAACCACCAGAGACTCAGCCATTTAATTAGCAGCACAACTCTCTCTTAACTGCATCACCTGTGCTCAATGTCACAGGCTTCTAGTGAAGATCAAGTTAATTAAAATACATAAAGTGACTAACACCATACCCAGCACACAGTCAATACCTTCCTGAGAGGTTATCTTCATAGAGCATGAGAACAATTGGCTTTATAAAGCCTTGCACTAATTTATAATGAAATGAACAAATATTTCTTCAAATTTCATTTGGCCTTTTATTTTATTTTTTAAATTTTTTTAATTGAGATTTTAATTAGAGTTTATAGAGAACCTGGATTTCCATTCATTCATTGTTGCACATTTTCCTCCCTACCCAGCCATCCCCCAGAATTTTTTTCTTCAAATTTCAACCATCACTTAATAACCAGTGTATGAAGTTATTATTTACCAGGATCAAAATTATCTCCAAATATTCTCTTGGCAGGAATCTTCAGGGCCATAGCAGGAAATTGTTTCTTTAACTGAAATTAAACAAAGAAACAAACACCAAAAAAATTATATGAACTTAATTTGATAAATATTGTAAAGATATGTACCAAAACTAAATATAATTTTATTTTAAAGAAAATCTATCATAAAACATACTTTTAAAATACATCATCATTCAACATACAATTTAAGAGTATATTAATAAAACAGAATAGACTGATTAATCACCCAATTTTCTCCCAATAAAAGTTATTAACTGTGTGACCTTGGACAAGCTACTTAAAATCTCTTTTCCTTCATCTTGTTATGTGTAAAATGGGAATTACTTTAGCACATAACTTACAGATTTGTTGCAAGGTTTAAAGAGATCATCTAAGTAGTTCGATTTCCTATTGTTAGGTACCATCAACTTGAATATTATTCATAACAGCTCTATCAACAACATATTTTAACCCTGCTTACACCATTCTCATAATTTTCCATATGCTTGAGCCCACAGTTACAGTTACTGTGTCAATCCACCTTTTGGGGAGTTTTCTTCTCTTTCTCTGACCCTCCACTTTACCTAACATAATGTTCATTTCCAAGGACTGACCTCTCCTGTCAACATGCCCAAAGTACGTGAGAAGAAGTTTCACCACGGTTGCCTGTAAGGTGCTTCCTTGGCTGCACTTCTTCCCCCACAGGCTTGTTCGTTTTTTTAGAAGTCCACCAAATATTCAACACTCTTTGCCAACACCACAATTCAATGGCAATGATTCATCTCTCGTCTTCCATATTCACTATCCAACTTTCAGATGCACAGAAAGTAACTGGAAAAAAACCATGGCTTTAATCAGGTGCACTTTAAACTGATACTCTTTCTCTTGAGCACTTTGAAGAAGTTCTTAACAAAAGATTTTTCCAGTGCAGTACATCTTTTGTTTTGATTGCTGGTACCATGGGTATTAATTATGGATCCAAGGTAAACGAAATAGTTGACACATACAACCTTCTCTCCTTCTAGCATGATGTTTCAAGTTGGTACACTGGTGAGAATTTCTGCTTTCTTGATGTTGAAATGTAATCCACACTGATGAGTGTATTCCTTGATATTTTGCAACAGGTGTTTCAAGTCATCTTCATTTTCTGCAAGCAAGGTGGTTCCATCTGTATAATGCAGGTTGTTGATGAGTCATCCTTGAATCCTAATGTGATATTCTTCTTCATATAGATCAGCTTCTTGAATGATTTGCCAGCAAAACTGAATAAGTATAGAGAAAGGATAGAACTCTGATACACACCCTTCCTGATTTTAAAACATGCAGTGTTTTAAAACTCTTCTTATGAGTTGATAACAGGTTCTTGGGCCAGGTATGTATTTTTTAAAAGCACAATTAAATGTTCTGGGATTCCCATTCTTCTACATGTTATCCATAATTTATTGTGATCCAAGCAATCAAATGTCTTTGTATGGTCAACAGAACACAAAGACACCCTTCTGATATTCTCTGCTCTTGGGTAGGATTCATCAGATATCATTAATGAAATTCCTCATTCCATAGCCTCTTCTGAATCCATCCTGAATTCATGGAAGTTCCCTGTTGGTGTGCCATTTCAGCTACTTTTTAATACTCTTTAGAAAGATTTTTACATGCTAAGAGAACGAACAGGTTCATCCTGGAGAGGGTTAAATCCTTGGAGGCAATGATTCCAAAGCTTCATCTGACATACTTTGGACATATTGCAAGGAGGGATCAGTTCTTGGAGAGGAAAGTCATGCTTGGGGGGGGGAGGGACAGTGCCAACAGAGGAAGACCCTTGATGAGACAGATTGATTCAGTGACTGGGGTAGTAAGGGTAGGTGTATCAGAGACAATGAGATTGGCACAGGATAGAGCACGGTTTAGGGCTGTTGTACATAGGGTCGCTATGAGTTGCAGGCAACTCGATAGCACATAACAATAACAATATGATATTAATTCTAGTAATCAATAATTTCTACATTCTGCTGGAGGATCTTTTTTGGAAATGGGGGAAATATTCATTTCTTCCAATTACTTGGTCCAGTCTTTCAAATTTCTTGGTATATAATAATGAGCATACCCCAGGCTGTACCTAATTATAGAAACATGTTAATTGATACATTATCAATTCCTTGCTCTTTATTTTTTGCCAGTGCCTCACTCTGAAATTATAATGGACTGAATAGAGGCAAAAATGAGACAATACTTCTAAGGTTGTTTAAAATGAGTATGAATCTCTCCTTTAACTGGCCAACCAACTTAAAACCAATACTCTCTGCAAAGGTATGCATCTGTGTAAGATCTGGTTTGATGTGTTACAATGGTCTCACTCCCTATATTAGAAAATAGTTTTCTCTAGTAACATTGCTAAGGACTCCATAGGTTGTACCCCTAAAGTAACTGTCAATAACTTTGAATATCAACATTCGTTTCAGTTGTGGAAAGCACTTAAATCCAGACAAAAGACTTATTTTTAACTAAGATAAAAATGATGGTAAGAAAGGGGTCTTATGACATAGATTTTCATTCCTAACTCTAACAGCTGGTCAGTTTAACTAGAAACAGTAAAACCATTAACAATTACTAAAGAAGTTGGCAAAAATACTTTTATTTGTAATACTCTATGATAAACAAATCTGTCTTGGAAGAAGTGCAGCCAGAATGCTCCGTAGAAATGAAAACGGTTAGACTTTGCCTCCTTTGAGCATGTTATCGGGAGAGGCTAGTCCCTAGAAAGGTATTATGCTTGATAAGATAAAGGGCCAGCAAAAAATAGCAAGGCTCTCAGAAAGATGGAATGACATCACGGCTGCAACAACAGGCTCAGGTACAGCAGCAGTTCTAAGGACTATGCAGCATTAGACAGGACAGTATTTCATTCTGTTGTATATAGGGTCTCTATCAATAGGAGATGATGACTCAATGGCACATAACAACATGACATTAAAGGAGCCCTTGTGGTGCAATGATTAAGTGCTTGGCTTCTAGCTATAAGATCTGTGGTTCAAACTCATCAACTCATCAGTCTAAATCCAGCAGTTGTTCTGTAGGTGAAAGATGTGGTAATATGCTTTGGTAAACATATACATATTGGAATCTCTATAGGCAATTCTACCCTGTCCTATAGGGTCACTATGGAATTGGTATTGACCCAATGGCAGAAGATTCTGGAATATTATTGAGGGTAATAAAATGGCTAAACTAAAAGCTTTATGGTTCAAATCCACCTAGAAGTAAAATGAGAGAAAGACTCAGAGATCTATTTCCAGAAGATTAAAACCCCACTGCCACTGAATCCGTTCCAACTCATAGTGACTTTCTGGTTGGCAACACAAGATTAAAATGCTATGAGTCAAAGTTGACTTGATGACAACCAAAATCACAAACATGACATTAAAATATACACATTCCAGTTCCCATCTCACCAGTGATTTACTGGGAAATGTTCAATATTCTCTTTCTCCTCTTTTTAAAAGATTTTAAAAACTAAGATACATTGGAAAAACTTCTTACCCTTTTCTGCTTGTCTGAGATAAATGTGTAAGGATTAATTTAATCTTAGTATTGAGGTTTCTTTCAGCTTTTAGAAAAAATAAGAGTATTACTCACAGTATTGTAGAGTTTATCAAACTCTGCATATCTCCTGAAGACAAACCATTCATTCCTCCCTACTGAAACCAGGACTTTATAAACCTGTGAAAATAAAAAAAAAAAAAAGCAAAATAAAATTTCATTCTAAGAACAAATAAACACCTCAACAAGAAAAAGGTAAACAATTCAATCACAAAATGGGCACAGGATATGAGGAGACACTTGACCAAAGAAGACATTCAGAAAGCTAGCAAACTCATGAAGAAATATTCAAAATCCCTAGTTCTCAAAGAGATGCAAATAAAAAGAACTACGATATAGCATCTCACCCCAGTAACAATAAAAAAGTTCAACAGAGCAGCAAAAAGCAAATATTGGTGAGGCTATGGAGAGATTGGAACCCTTAATAACTGCTGGTGAAAGTATAAAATGATGCAACCACTATGGAAGGTGGTATGGCTCTTTCTCAAAAAGTTGTAAATAGAAATACCATTTGGCCCAGTAATTCCACTCCTAGAAATATATCCTAAAGAGACTAAAGCTGCCATCCAAAAAGTTGTATGCACATCCATGTTTATTGCTACATTATCCAAAGCAAAGAGATGGAAACAACCCAAGTGCCCATCAACAAATGAATGGATTGACTACCAAAAATCAGTGGGATTTCTCTACAGTAACAGAGAGAACTCAGAAAAGGAAACCAAAAAAGCAATACCATTTACAACAGCCAACCACAAACTGAGATACTTGGGAGTGAACCTAACTAGAACAAAAGATCTTTACAAAGAAATGTATAGAACACTTCTCCAAGACACAATAAAAGGCCAAACAGAATGGGGAAATGCAGCCTGTTCATGGATAGAAAGACTCAGTATTGTGAAAACCACAATCCTACCAAACAAAATCTACATGTTCAAATGCAATCCCAGTAAACACACCAAATTAATTTTTCAAGGAGATCAAAAGGGAAATTGTCAAGTTTATTTGAAGAGGGGGGAAAAAACCCTGAATAAATAAAGCACTTCTGAAAAACAAAAATGAAATGGGAGTCAGAGCACTCCCTGACCTCAAAACCTACTACACTGTGGTAGTAACCAAAACAGCATGGTATTGGTACAATGATAAGCACATAGACCAATGTAACAGAATTGAGAACCCAGAAATGAACTCAGCTATCTAAGGTCAAGTGATATTCAACAACATAAATAAAATCTAAATCTAAAATAAAATAAAATCTATCAAATGGGGAAATAACAACCTCTTCAACAAATGCTGCTGACAAAACATTACTGCTACTTGCAGAAAGCAGAAACAGGATCCACATCTCACACCATATAAAAAAAATCCACTCCAGGTGGATCAGAGACCTGTGAGTAAAACCCCAAACCATAAAGTTCACCAGAGACAAACTGAGATCAAGCTTAGACAACCTAGTCTACGGTATAAAGAGACTATCAAATATAGCCAGAGATGCACAATCTAAAGAGGACAAAATTAACGAATGGGACCTTCTAAAGATTAACTCCCTGTGTGCATCAAAAACTTTTTCCAACAGAGTGAAAAGAAAACCTACTGAATGGGTAAAAAAAAAACATTTGGCAATACCATTTCAGACAATGGTCTCATATCAAAAGTTTACAGAAACCGACAGGGCCTCCACAAGAAAAAGACTGATAACACAATTACAAAATGGGCAAAAGACATGGAAGGACTATTCAGACACATTAAGATGGCCAAAAGACGCATGAAGAAATACTCAAAAAATGACTGGCAATAAAAGAGATGCAAATCAAAACCACAATGAGATACCATCTCATTCCTGTAGTAGTGGCAAAGTTTAACAGGACAGCAAGTAATAAATGTTTGGGAGGATGTGGTGAGATAGTAACTCTTACATATGTTGGTGGGATTATAAAATGGTACAACCACTCTGGAAGGCAGTCTGGCGCTTCCTCAAACAGCTATTCCACTGTTTGGTATATACTCCAAGAAAATGAGAACTGAGGCACAAATGGAGACTTGTACACCAATGTTCATAGCAGCATTATTAACCATTGAAAGAACATGGAAACAGGCCCTATGTCCAACCACAATCAAAGGGACTGAGAAATTATGGTATATTCACAAAACAGAATACTATGCAGCACGCAGGAGCAATGGTTTTGTAAACTAAGTAAACTAACTCAGTCCCATAATCACAAACATTGTTTAAGACCATTATTGTAGAATGTGTATGGGATGAGAGGCAAAGAGGTGAAGACGGATGGGGGAGGGAGTATTAATCATAGGGTCACACAATTTGAAGAGAGGGATGGATAAAGGAAATGAGTAAGATCCAGTGTGAAAAA